GCTACAATTTGATCAATGATTTTGGTTATCGTTACCAAACTTTTACTAAAGAAATCTGTAGCAAGTTCTTTGATTTCTTTGTTTTCAGAATCTCTATTTTCAAGTTCTGTGTGAATTCCTTGTTCTGCCAGTTCTTGAAGTCATTGTTGGTAAGGCTCTTAGCAGAAACCTGCAGTAACTCTACAATATCCTGCTCATCTACATCTCCTGTATTAAGTAGACAATTTTGTCAATCTAACGATACAGTGATAGGCTCTTCTCAATGAGAATTCTTGGATACCTTCAGCTATAACTTCTTCCACACTCCGTTTATGCATTTATCAGTTAATTCTTGCCAGCCAAGTCACTATTTCCTATGGCATCCATGATGTTATATTTTTTCTAAAATTGCACAAAACAAACATAAATTTAAGGAAAGTACAGCACTACAACAAATTGCCATCTTTTGCTGATTGGTTCGTGTTTGGGAATAATCATATTATATATGAATCAATGAAATACTGTGTTAATTTGAATCAGCGTAAATTTTGAGCGTTTTTAGGCATCAAGTAGCCCGTGTTATATTGGATCGACTTTAAGTGGGGTCTTACTGTAATTATGATTTAGACAAGAAAATAAACTGCAATTTTTATATCAGATGTAATCTTATAATTTAAATAAATCAAGCACAAGAAAACCAGGATTTATAAATTCTGAATGTTTATTTTCCACATCTGCACTATCCTCCTTTACATATACTAGTATGAACATGAATCATATGTAATAAAAATATTACTAAATGTCTATTACAAATCGAAAAGAAAAGTGATAAATGAACAAAATTTTGTATTTCAAAATCAAAATACAAATTTTTTTTTATGACAAAAGAAAATAATTCTAATCTTCCATTTTCATAATGAGTCTTCTCACACTATCCTTCAACTCTTTAATTTGTCCATTTACCTAGAATGTCACTGTCTCTGAAGATGTAATATTCCTGAAACGATAAATATTTTAATTTCAAATGTTAACTTTTTTTTTAGTTTTGTTTTGTGAAATATTTACCTTATCATCTATTTCAATTTTGGTGCCTCCATATTCAGGTAAAAGAACCCTATCACCTTCTTTGACACTGGGTGGAACTAAATCTCCTCTCTAAATATGAAATAAGAAGTTATTTACTCAAATCTATTTCTTAGAATGTTGAAAACAAACTATATACAAACCTCTGTTCTGGCTCCTGGTCCAACAGCTACTACAGTCGCACTTTGTACCTTAGCCTGTGCTTTCTCCGGAATCATAATCCCTCCTTTGGTCCTAGATTCCGGTATAAATCTTTCGACTAGGATGCGATCCAAAAGAGGGATAAGTCGTCTTCCTAACCCGGCCTTCGAAATGATAATACTTTTTAAACTTTCAAATCATTATTCTTGTTTTACATTCTAGAATAGTCAACTATATAAGTACAGTAATGCAAATTATCAATTGCATTATCTTTAAATTATTTTATAATCAAAACTTATATTTGATGGACAAACTTTACCACGTTCTAACCTAACCTATTCTAATAAATTACCAATAATATAGGTTAGGTTAGGTTAGGTTCCAACATGGGTCTCCACTGTGCTGCCATGATGGTGCACATAGGTAAAGTTTAACCTTGATCTAGGATATGGATTTTCTATCACACAGTTTTATCTTGAATAAATTTTGATTTTTCTAGAGTAATTATAACATCCCAAAATTTACTCATCTTTTATATTTATATACATAAACGCTTGTTTAAACGCCTATTTATTTAATTATAAATTAGGTAAGATATATATTCAAGCAATAATAATGATAATAATAATAATGAATAGGTAGAAGTTAGAAATTACTTTTAGGTAATTGTGTATATATGCATATAATTACAAATTAACTAAAAGTAACTTCTACCAAAGATTGATGAGCCAAAAACAATCTTACCATCCAAGTCTCCATAGTTTTCTATGATAATACTTCCAAGAGGATATAAAGCGATCGAAAGTAGAGAAAGGACTAACTTCATACTCACCATGATTGTTTATAAATAAGTTTCTTGGACCAAAAACTTGTTTGAGTAAAAATTATTCTTTGGATGGGCTGCAAACTGCACGACTTCGATTCGCCTTTCACGTGTTCCTAACCGCCAATGACGTAATACTAATGGCCGACCGTTCGAATGAAAACGTGACGTAACATTATATAAAATTAATAATTTTGTCCGTTATGAATACTAATTAATATAAATATCTTCGAAACAAAGAAATCTTCATGAATATCAGTAAGCGATCACGTCCCATTCGATAGATATAGCATTATTTTAAAAATTATTTAAAGACGAAAAAGAGGCGAACCATATGACGTATTTCCTCTTTCTAGAACGTTCCTCCCGAATGTTAACGAGCATGCGCATTTTCATTAAACTACGATCCTAATTTTGAATTAAATTCAGAATAAAATTAAGTTTAAACAAGATAAAAATTCAAAAAATTAATTTTTAATATTTATACAAATAACGAGATTAGTTAGGGTTATGTTAAAGAATTGCATCATACACGTGGAAAAGTCTAGAAAGAAAAGCGCCACGAAACCAGTATAATTAAACTTTAACCTTTTAATAAAAGAACCTTTAAATTATAATTATCGTCCAATCTAGATAAGATGATAGATTATGACATATTATAATTAACTGCTTTTCGAGGAACTCAAAAGTCAGCTGATTTCTTTTTTTTATAAATCTGTTTTAAGCATTTATTAGATCGTTATTCAGCATCCGGGTCCCTATTATCGCCTCCTAGTCCCCACGTGTTCCCCTCTCTACAACCGTTTGCTTCTATAGGAGTGTATCGCCCGCCAAGGCAAGTCTTTAATCGTAATTACCTTTTGTTAATATTAATTAAACTTAACATTTTAAGAGAAGAGATTTAGCGTAAGATTTCTTTTAAAAATTTATGGAATTTAATAATGGCGATATCTTCATCCGACTCATCATCGTTCTTGTTTTTTTTTCTAGATTAAAATGTTGCACCTTCCATCGGTTTTTCGTACCAGCGCTCTACGTCGCTTGACTCCAGCCCTGAGAAGATATTATGCTAAAGATATAAAATTTGGTCCTGATGTTCGTGCTATAATGCTGCAAGGGGTTGATGTCTTAGCTGATGCTGTTGCTGTAACTATGGGGCCTAAGGTATACTTATTATTACAATTCAAAACATTTTTCTTTCATTTGAAGAAAATAATCTTCATTCATCTTTTCAAATGAATGAGAGTTCTGAGTATGATGAATGAGAAAAGGAAAGTTGCATCATAGTTTTGTGTTATTAAATAACACAAAAATATGATGCAAAAGCACAAATTTTGTGCTTTTGCAGAAATAAATATGAATATTTTATTTATTTAATAGAATATGCCTAGTGAAGTTAGGTATAATTGCTATGGTATCAACATATAATTTTTTATATAACATAACATCAATAAAATTATTTCAAAACTATTCTTGGTGCAAAATATGAAACTATTCGTGAGATTTTTCAAGTAGAAATGTTCTGTCAATGTAAAATGTAATTATTCTAAATTATAGCATAGAAGCTGATAATCTTTAAGAAATTTTTTAATTTTCTAATCAATCAGTTTTTGTTATATTTATTATAAAATGAGACAAAAGATGATACAAATATATAGATTTTTGACTTTTTTCATAAAATAATTTTGTTTTAAGACTATTTATTTTGAAAGTTAACAAATTGTGAACTCTTATTAAAAATTAGAAATTAAACCATAATATATTTAACTTTGGTTATATTGAAAATGTTTTTGATTTTCTCTTATAATTTTATTAACAACTGTTTTTGTCAGTTATTTTCAGATATATTATTTGTTTGATTAACTAATTTTTGTAAGATTAAAATGTAACATTAACTTTCTGTGTTTTGGGAATTGTTTTTTCATATCTTAATGATAATTCTATTTTTACTAACTTAACAATATGTAGTACACAGTACATAAACAAACCTCACAAAACCTGATAAATTTGTAAAGCCTAAAAACCACTGGATTATGTTGGGTTACTTTTCTGCAATTATATTTAATTAATTGCAAAAAAGTAGCCTGATGTACTATGGTACTTGTTTTTGCTAAAAAATAGCATTTTCTAAATATACAAAAATTTAGTTTCCGTATAGTTTTGACCATCGTAACATGCTGTTAAGCCCAGAACAAATTATTTGATATCAGCAAATTGGTCAGAGGTGAGATAAAACAAAATACATTAGATTGTCATAGGTTTAACTGTTAAATCAACGGTGCGGCCATTGACTCAGTGTTGCTCTGTCGGGTGGTGAACCTATGGCACGCGTGCCCAAAGTGACATGTAAGGAGAAATCATCCAGCATGTAATGTATCATACGATTTCTGTCTTTTTCAATCATTTTTTTGGTTTATCACTTGATCGTCCTTTTTTCAATCAGCTTTTTTACATTTATTCTAATTAAAGTGTATTCATTTAATTTCTTTAAATATCGTTATTCGAAGTCTGAAACTTTGGCATGCATAAACATCTTTAAAGCTAAGTATGCTTACAATATGGCACACGAACACAAAAAGGTTCACCATCCCTGCTCTATGTTACACCCTTCTATGGAAAATAGACAATCTCTTCAACAACTCTCAGATTCAAGTTGGATTTTTCAGGCAACAGTTGGGAGATGCTTGTGCACATTTGAAAGTTTACAAGAAAGAACCATGCACTGTAGCTCACAGACAAGATTTACATGTGTTTGTGCTATGATTTTAGTCTTGTTTCAGCAATAGCTTTGCTATGCTGAGTTTATGAAACAGAAAGCTGATAGATTTTCACAGATATAAAAATATAAATAATCTTATTGATTTATAATTTCAATAGAAAAAAAAAAGTTCATTTTCTATCAAATTCCCATTTTTACCAAATATTTAACAAATGGTAGCAGCTAAAATTAACACCAACAATCATTATCACCGATTGGCAGCATTTTAAACTATTGAGCAGTCATTTGTAATGAGATAGACAAGATTTCATTGGTTCTTTAGAACTATATCACAAATGATATCACAGCAAGGCCATGGCTAGTGCATTTAGTACCAGGGGCAAAGTTAAATATGGCACCTTTCAGATAAGTCTTTTTACAAATTTAAAAAACAATAAAAAAAACTTTTTATTAATATAATGTGTATTATATTTCATATATAATATGAGTATAAGTATGAGTGAAAAATTTTTTTTATGAATTTATTAGTTCACCCATATAAGTTTGGCAGTCCATTATCTCAGTGCCCTGGGTGTTTATCTCCTCTACCCCTGCCTTTTCAGTCCTTTATCACAAGGGGCAATCTATAAGTATTATTTAAATATATAAAATATCCAAGGAAAACCAATCATACTTTTGTTATTAGATGTAAAAACAAAATGTAATATGATAGTGTTTTACCAAAGTTATAAATATTAATCCATAATAAACTTTCGAATACACTTTAATTTTAATAAACTGGCATCATTGTTAACAAATAGTTGCTAATAAACATGAGTATTAATTAAATATTTCACAAAACTAAACAGTGCTAAATAATTACATTTTGATTAAATTAATTTTCTTATAAATTGTTGATAGTTACTTGTTTCAGTGACTTTAAATTTCATCATTTAGATTATTCTGCTAATAACCTGCAAAAAGATTTATCTTAAATGCATTATATAGTAATTTTATTAATATATTATTGTCTACAAAAATACTATGTGTTTGTGTATTTTATATATATTGCATATTAAATGTGATTTCATAAAACTGTTTAGGGAAGAAATGTTGTCATTGAACAATCTTGGGGATCTCCAAAAATCACAAAGGATGGAGTAACTGTAGCAAAAGCTATTGAATTAAAAGAAAAATTTCAAAATATTGGAGCTAAACTTGTACAGGATGTAGCTAATAATACAAATGAAGAAGCAGGTGATGGAACCACAGCAGCCACTGTGTTGGCCAGAGCCATAGCACGAGAAGGATTTGAAAAAATTAGCAAAGGTGCTAATCCAATTGAAATTCGTAAAGGTAAAAAACTTTTACTCCTGAAACAAAATTCTTTCTCTAAT